TGTGTGTGTGTGTGTGTGTGTGTGTGTGTGTGTGTGTGTGTGTGTGTGTGTGTGTGTGTAAAGTTGGGATTATCATCGGGTTTGCATATTCCTCAGTCATACATTCTGGTTAAAGTCATGAACTGCCAGTTTCGGAACAGGGCACACACCGGGGCATCAGCATGGCTTCTTGACCTCACATTATCAACCCGTGAAAGGGGCGGATAATATTTTCCCCGCTTAAGCTCGACTCCTTCCAGTGTGTTTCAGCATCTTTAAGCTGGATAATTGAGGCTTCATCTTTATGACAGAGGCTGTGGCTCTCCCTGTAGACACAGGATTGACACAGACTAGCTGTCTGTGGATCTCCAGGACTAAGCTCCTCTATCTCCAGCTCGCCTGCTCTTGTTGGGCTTCAAGGTCAAGGGGTATCTTTCTGTGAGAAGACTTAGTGACAAATGGGCTGCGGGGCGACGAACGTTTAACATCTGTAAGGTCTCATGGTTTTTTGTCTTAACACACATTTTTCCCCCCTTCTTATTTCACAGTTGTGCAAGTAACAATAAAAGTTGGAAGATATCAGCAAATACTGTTTATACGCAGGCAACTGGAATGTGCCTACATGTGTGCTCACGCAGACACACACACAAAGAAAAGAGGGCAAATGCCTCCAGATTAACACCATCTTCTAATCCCTGCTGGAGCCAGCCTTTTCTCCCTGCCTCGATCTTTTCTCTTCCTCCTTCTCTCTCTCTCCAGGCTGGGGTCTGAAGGGGGCCTCCCTCCTCAGAGAGGCTGGCCGAGTGGGAGGCTTATATCTCCAAAGCCAGTGTAGCAACGCTGGATTCATAGCACGGATAGCGCTACTCCCCTGCCTACTAATCCACCACCTAACACTCCTTTAGGGCTCTCCTGAGGGCAGAAGAGAAGCAGGCGATGGCTGAAGCAGCAGGGGAAGAAGAGAGCGCCCTGGCGTGTTAACCTTGTCACTCACACCCCTAAGGTGCCTAATTACTCACTCCCCCCTTTTCAGTTCCCGTTGACATCCCGACAAAGCTTCACGCTCCCGTTTCCACTCTGAACATGTGACACCGATGTGACTGTCACCATAAAAAAACAAAACAAACAAACAAACAAACAAACAAAAAAGAGGATTAAAAAAAGTATTCACTAATCAAATTCATGTTATATGTCTTTACCCCCCCACCCCACCCCACCCCAGACAAACCTCCCACTACCCTCCCCTCCGCTCGACCTTCCATCCCTCATTGCAGGCCTTGTGCATATTAGGGCTCATAATGAGAAAATCCATGATTGTTTTTCATAATTAACGAGCAGATCAAAGTCTGAGCCCACTAAGGAGTGCAGAGCGGCAAATGGTCGATATGTGTGAGAGAGAGAGGGAGAGACAGAGAGAGAGAGGAAGAAAAAAAGAGAATAAGAGAGATTTCGTTTTAAGCATTTTGGCTTAGCTCTTCTGATATCCACACACATGAATATGCCTAGGGAAATCATTTGCTGCTAATTCTGCAACCGGATCGCTTGGACATGGATTTCTGTTGGGCTGCGGGTGCAAAAAGATCAAATAGCACGAAAAAAAAAAGAAGGAGAAGAAGGACCTCCAGGGCTCCTTTCAGCTTTTGATTGTCAGAGACCCAACGTGAACAGTGAAACGGGTGTGAAGCGTTTTTCCTCAGACTGTACAACGTGACAACACAACTGTTAAATCTTCCGTGCCTTCGTTATTTCCTTCTGCTACCTGTTTATCCTCTCCTGCCTCGACAAAACATGTCAGACGTGTGATTTTTCTGACATATGTGGAGCACTGTTTCGTTAAATGTCCCCGCTCCCTTCATCTCTGCTACTCTGTGTACTCCTGTGCTCATTTCCACATTGTTATTTATAGCTGGTCCCTCAGAACCTCCGAGCCTCAACATCATCATCATCATCATCATCGCCCACATCTTGTCTGATCCCTCCTCCTCTTTTTTTTTCCAACTGCCAGCCGCAGGAGAAGAAAGCAGAGAAAAGAGACAAGGTGCGGGACAAAACTGCGGATGGGCCACGTCTTTTTTTGTTTCCTTTCTTCCTTGCATTAGCGAGAAGCTGCCAAAGTCTCCAGCTGTGCAGGGCTGAGGAGCTCGCTCCCAAACGGCTCAGGAGCTCCTCCGCAGCTGTCAGAGCTGCAGCTTGATGTTATAACTGAGAGGCAAAGAGTGCAGAGGGAGAGGGCAGCAGAGCTCAGCGTGCCATCCCACAGGCTGCTTCAAATGAGCTCACACTTTGAGATGATAGGAAGGATGACTGTACTGCGACACTTTTTCCCCCCTCTCTCTCCTGATTCCCGTCTATCCAGACATTTATGCAAAAAAAACCTAAATGCAGTCAGGGTTCATCGATGCCTCCATATCAAGCTGCCATGTAAGCGAATACGGTGCAAAAATCCATTTCAATGTCACATTTTATTGCATTAAGAAGTACTGGTGACCTATAATGTGTCTGTGACGACTTTCTTTATTGTATCCTTCTACAGTTTTCACTCTTTCAGTCAGTAAAAACTTGCTGACAACAAAGTGTTCAGTGCCACAGCAAACCCCGTTTTTTGTGTTCCCTTTTACATAGATATATATAAAGAAACGACCCCTTTTAGTTCCACACAGTGTGATAAAAGGATTTCAAATGTGGGATAAGAACAGCAAATACTGCTGTGGCATTTCTTTGGTGCCTTACCTTGTTTGTTGTTGGCATCCTGGGGGTGATGGCCAGAATGGGACACTGGAGCGAAGTGTTCGTCACTGTACGTGATCAGGGGGGTGAGCGGGTGGACTGCATGAGACGGCTGCACCACGGGGACTTTGTTGGACTGTGGAGAAAAATGCAAGAAGATTTACTTTTTTATTTTTTAAATGCTGTGAAAAGCTGATGCCTTTTGTGTTATTCCATCTGAAAAAGGGGCCCTGATCCCTCACACATGATTCATAGAGTACAGGTGGTCTTGCTCTGCAGCAGCACAATGCCTTCTTGACTTTCATTGTATGGTCAAGAAGTTACTATACATATATATTTTTAAAAAACATTTCTTGAATTTCTTCTCTCTTTACTAGGCTGGGCACAGCAGTTCAAAACTTTGTTTAGTCTAGGTCAGCAGGTTTGAAAATCCCCACATCCCCCGAAGGAGGAAAAAAAAAGAAGAAGAAACAAGTCAAAAGAGGTGTCTGAGACAGAAAAGGGCAGAAAGATGCAAACAGAGGTGGAGCGAATAGAAGCGAGCAAGCGATAGAGCAAAGGGAAGGGAGAGAAAAGAGAGACTTGCAGGGTAGAGTCAGAGCAGAGGTCTTAGGCGGGAGATCAAAGGCAGTCATTAGCTGGTGAATAAGGGGAGTTCATTACAGACCAAGAGCCGGGGGAAGAAGAGATGAGGGATGGAGGAGGAGGAGAAAGGTGGGTGGGGTGGGGTGCGGGTGGGGGTTCTGGCTATGGGGAGAGAGCGTGAGTGAGACAGATGTCTGCAGCGGTACTTAATGCAGGGGTAATCACGTCAACAGTGGCCTGGCCACAGACCCCTCATCCCAGGCTGACTCAGAGAGACGGAGAGCGAGAGAAAGAGAGAGAGCTTCCTCTGGAAAACTAAAATAGATCGAACCAGGCCCGAAAAACCCCCAACCCCCAGCCAACAGTGCTTACATGCTTCAGCTGCACTGAACACATGGTAATGCTTAGCCATGCTAAATCTACTATTTACAGTCTGAGCCCAGAGCTGAGCTGAAGTCAAAATATCACCTCCACAGGATATATGGCTAATCGGGAGAGACGGCGGTGCACCGATGGGTGAGACGCCACTTACACCGGGCGGCTGCCAATGAGCTCTCCCGAGTTTTTAGGAAACTCTAATCGATTTTATTCCCAGAAACAGTCACATGATTAGCAGCGTTGTTAAAGATACCCATCTAAATTTAGGATAAGAATCAAATTATGATAGGATGATAATAATAAATGGACTGTTCTTTATTAGCCCTCGCTTTGTTGTCTATGACATGTGTGCCAAGGTGACATTCCTGCAGTGCTAAGTGGTGACTGGTGCCCCGCCTCACCCACTTACGCACACACAGAAAAACTCCTCGGACACAGGGGTGGCTGGAATGTCTGAGTTTTTCTGAACCTCTCGCAGACTGGCACCAGCTTCAACTTAAGAACCCCCTCCGTCCTCCCCCCATCTCACCACCTTCTGGGAATGTCCTCAAAGAGCAGTACGTGTGGTATGTGTGTGCACGTGTCCAGCTGCATGAACCATCATTCTCATCAGGGTCCCAAAACATGCCGGGAATCTCATCTCCTCAGGCCAATTCAGTTCCCGGTTTGGAGACGGGGTGTTACGGCACCATAAAGCACAGGTTGCACTGCACATGTGGTAAAGTTTGTTCTCACACAAGAGAAGCCCTGCCTGAAAACTAAGCCAAGGATGTAGAGGTGTAATTTTCTCACACCAGCCCAGGTGTGTTGCATTCCCTGGTCAACAAAGAGCCAAAGGTTAGTGTCCAGCCTCATCCTTAAGAAGGTTAGGCTTATTAGCAAGGCTCCTAAGCCTAAAAAGAGGGGACTAACTAGGCCTACAGTGGCTGAGACATGCCTCCACCAGGGGCTAAATGACAGCATTCTCACACATATTATTTTACGCCTCTCCACTCCCATTTGTTACGGTGTGGGAATGAGATAAGAACCTGGAATGCTATCGTTAAAACCTGCTATGCTCCCCAATATTGAAAGAAAAGCCAGCTGGAAACAAAAAAAAAAGTTCTCATGTTTGTGTGTACACATAGAACTACAATAAAAACAAACAAACATTTAAAACAATATTTTAAAGCAGGGCGACTAACTTCTTAGCACCTAAGAAAGCTTGAGTTTTACTGCCACAGTGGAGAAGCCCTCTTTTGTGCTCTTCCCAGTTACAGCTGTCAAATCCCATTTTTCTCAACTTCTTAATAAACTGCTTCCATTGTGGGGAAGAAAAAAAAGATCCACCAGGGAAAAACCTGCAGGCCTTTGTGACCAATAGCATATTTATGCCCGTTTAGGGTGCACACTTACGCAAATTGCATGGCCTAACTGTAGTTTACTTTAGAAAAGGAAAGTAAATAAATTGTCCGTCAGGCTTCCAACAGCTTCATTATACTCTAGATATACATAAAATTTGATTGTGCAAACCGTATCAGGGTCAAGCCAAATCCTGGTTTAGATGGTTTTTTATTTGATTACATGCAAAGAGGTATTGCTGGGGCAACATTTTACCACCATAAATTAAAAAAGAAAAAAGAAAAAACAACATTAAAAACTGACACCAGTAACAATTTACTGAAAAAAGGAGCTGGAGACACCCAACTCCTGACAACAGCCATGAGGGTCATGCCATGTCCTAATCTGATTCCTTCTCATACCCTACATACCCAGCCCTACTGGCTGCAGCAGTAGCGACACTGTTGCAATGGGGGCATCCATATTGGAGGTCCCTTTTATTGTACAGGAGAAATAATAGGCTTAAGATCTTTCTATTCATATTTTTCAGGCAGAGTGAAAGAAGAGAGGCGGCGAGGATTGAAAAGAAAAACGTTCCATTTGGAATTTCATATCCAGGCTTGGCCGGCCCTTTAAAAAAAAAAAAAAAAAAAAACCCTTCAGATGTGGTTTTAAGAGAAATTCATTGTGCGGAACTGGAGCTGGCAGGAAGCCCTCCATGGAGGAGACACTCCAGTGTGTTTCAGCAAGGGGAGCCAGTGACTTGGCGTGCCATCTGAAATTGGGGGTGGGGAAGAAAAATGGGACGTTTCACTTTTGTTTTGTTTTTGTTGGGGTTGTTTTTTTGTCCCCCACCCTCCTGCCTTGATTTTTCTGACGACACGCCGACGTCTGTGATCTTGTATTCTGTCATATTCCACCAACATCGTGTCACCGTCGGTAAAACAAGAATTTGCACGTTTATACATGTGTCTACGTGGTGTATGGAATATTGCCTTTTTAAAGCATCTCTCTCCCCTCACAGCACAGCTTTTGTACTCCACTCAATTATACCACTTCTGCAGAGTGGAGTGGAAAAAAGGGAAAGCGGGAATTTTATAATAATCACTTCCCACTTCTGTAATTTATATGCAATGAGGACTCTCTGCGCCTGCAGCTACAATCAAGTGTGTAGAAACCGTGTGAGGTGTTTCACAAACAGCTGGGGAGATGTCAGCTCAAACGGCGGCTATGGATTCTCATGCTGCTAAGTCTATTCGCTGAGAAGCCCTCCTCACCACAAAACCCAACCTCACCTCGCAGGATTTTCTGCACTCTGGAGGGAAAGGGTTTACAGGTGAGGGCCAAGGATGTGAATGAAACAAAGAGAGAAAATGCAACATGGGACTGGCCTGTAATTATAAGACCCATCAACAAAGATTTGCAGGAAAATCTTCACTTAAAAAGTTTTTAAACGAAGAACATATGATTCTCAGCATAAGTGAATCACAAGTCCTCCACACCCTCCTTTGACTGTTTAAGTACATCTTTAGCTACTGTTTCCATTGATAATGGGCTCAAAGAAGAAGACGAGATTACAGACACAAAGGCTCTGTAAATGTCAGTAGTTGGGAGTATGAAGCGAGGGTGTGTCCACTACTGAAATCCTACAGAGTCGCCCTCATAACCAGGTGTTCACTCTCAGGTGTGTTTGTGCGCAAGCTGTGCAACCTTTACCCAACAAAAGTGAGCAAACATTCTGCTGTAGTAGCTTTACAGCATGGGAATGAAAAGGCACTGTACCTCCCCCTTGTACCAAAAAAAGGAAAGAAAAAAAAATCAGCAGAGACCAACCTGAGGAAGCTTAAGTAAATAACCAATTACCATTCGCAGAGCAGGTTGAACCCCACCAGCTTTGAGAGGAGCGCTAAAAATGGGATGTTTTATTGGCAGGATGGCCCCTTGGCCAAGGGGCTTAATGTAACGAAACCCAATTAATGGAGAAGAAAGCCGGGCCGGCGGCAAGTGAAGGAGCGCCACGTGCCGAGGGTAATGAGACGAACAAGCGAAGCTAACCACAGGGACAGCAGCAGAGGAGGCCACGAATAATAAGAAAAGCATACCCCAGAGAGAAGTATACATCTGTGATGCCCTCCCAAATGTCTCCTTGCCCTCTCCTCATTATTCCAATCAAAAAATTCAGGTATTCTCTCTTAGCGCTATCGAGGGTTCCTGTAGTTGAAGACATGCAGTGAGACTGAAGGCAGTAGCCAGTTACTAAAAATAAAGAGGAGGTATATAAAGAGCAACCCAAACTTGCAGCTGAGTGGAGTTTAGTGCAAAAATAGCCACGCTCCATATGTTCAATTTCATGGCTTTAGTGGCCAAGCTTCAGCGTAAATTATCAGGCAAGGAAACTTGTCATGCTGCCCTCTAAATACCGACACTGCACCCACAGACATGACAGCTATAGCTGATGTCAAACACTTTAAGTAACCCCACCTACACACACACACACGCGCGCGCGCCCGTGCGCACACATGCACCAACGACGTGCGTTAAAATATTTCAAGCTACATGAAGGTTGTGTTAACCACACATTTAATAACTTAAATACACAAACGCTGCACGTGAACACAAAAGAGCTGTTAACAGCAAAGTGTCTCTTTCCTCACCGCGTCAGAATAGAACGAGATGGATTACCCATCATCCCTCAGCTGGCAAGAAGAGCGTGCGCTCCGAGCAAACCAATCGCGGCTGGCTCTCGCGCTGACATTCTCAACGAGCAAAGATGATAATTTGCGTGAAATGTGCCTGCCTTACATGAAAAGACTTTATCCGCTTTTTAAAGTGTTCAACTCTTAATTTCTATAT